GGACATAGAACATGGGACATAGAACATGGGACATAGAACATGGGACATAGAACATGAGTCATAGAAGATGGGACATACAACATGGGACATACAACATGGGATATACAATATGGGTCATACAACATGGGCCATGCGACACGCGTCATATCATGAACAATCTCATAACTTACCTTAACATCTCGGTCTGGAGCTTGCGGTGTTTGAAAACATCCATCCCGCCCCTCAAGGCGACCATTTTGCGGAGCCCGTCCATATGCTGCCTGGCGGTGTGCGAGTCCCCGTCGAAGTGTGCGGCGCTGGCCAGCTTCACGACGGTGCTAATGGTGGAATCCGAGAGCTTTGTGTCGTCGTCGTCTTGGGCCAAAAGCCTCTCACGGAGAAGTCTCAGCCCTTTCTGGAGATGCAGCATCGCGGCTGGGTTGAGGGTTGATTTTGATTTTGATTCTTTTTCTTTTTCCTGACCCTGACCCGGAACCAGGCCCAGACCCTGCCGGCGTAGGATTTTGTCGATGAACCCATCCATGGCGAACGCATTGATGTGCAAGGCGGCGGCATCTGACGCGATCGTATGCAGTGGTTCATGGGGGTCGGAGCGGAAGCCGATCGCTGCCATCAGAGGGAAGATGACGGTCATTGCGATGGTTGAGGCTGAGAGAGAGAGATTTCGCATCCAGTTAGTCAATGTAAGTGTCAAGTGGAAGGGAAGTTCAATGCAAGTGAAAGGCAATGCAATCCAACCCCAATTGGACACAGTACACAGTGCACAGTACACAGTACACAGTACACAGAACACAGATATGCTCGAGCCAGCAAGGCATTGCACCAACCCCAACCCCAACTAACCTTTTATCATGTTCAGAACCATCCACGGCTCTATCTCGTCGGCAAACTCGACGAACGACAGATCCGACCCGACGCGGCCAGGCAGCAGTGGCGCACACGTCGTGATCACATCTTCCAGCCTGACTGGCGCTGGTGCTGGCGCTGTTGCTGTTGGGATCCGCATCCGAGTACGGCCGGTAGGATCGGCTTTCTTCTTTTTCCCTTTCCCTTTCCCTTTCCCTTTCCCTCGCATCACATGGCTTCGGATCAGCTTTCGCGTGGCCGGATTGACCTTGTCGACATTCGACGATACAATGAAAAGCATCGAACTCGAACGGAAAGACCCTTTGCGTTTAGATTGCCCTGGACTGTTCTGACTCCGGCTCCGGTGGCGGTGGTGGTGGTGCCCCTCGTACCATCTTGGTCTTTGGATTTTTCCCCTTAGGCTTTGCCGACCTTGGATTTGGATCTTGGATCTTGGCCTTTTCAAATCATTTTCCTGACTGGGAAAGGTTGAAAGTTCGAGATGACAAGAGATGAAGGGAGAGAGATGGTGGCAGGTGTACGACACTACGGAGTACATCTTCCGCCTTCCACCATGACTAGTCCTCTGGTAGGAGGCTCCATTCCGACACTGCCAAGACAACGTTTGTATGCCGTTTGCGGTCTAGCGGTGGGGCTTGGGGCGTCCGGCCCTCGCCGGTTGATGGTTGATAGTTGATACTCCTCTGTACAGAGTAACAGAATCTCCGTACACCTTAGATACATACTTGGAGGTAGAGGGACATGGGTTCATAGTATTACTACTGACCGCAAAATTTTAACAGTACTTAGGCAGGACGAAGGGGGAAATTTAGGGATCCTTGGGCCATGGCCTCCACTGCGACTCGACATTGTCCCTGTCCCAGGAGCATTCACCCTCGGCCACGGTTTACGATTTGCTATAAAGGCAGACAAGAATCCATCTGACCTCACGTCTTCCAAGCCTAAGCTTGAGCTTCACGTCCTGCACTGATTTCCTCTGACCTCTCACCAACAGAGTACTTGAGCCAATCCGTCTAATTACAATAACAGCATCCGGGGCCCTTTTTCCTTTTTCCTTTCCCATTTCGTTTCCTTTCCTTTCCATGGCTACTCTTACTCGACGCAAATCCGTCCTGATCAGCGGCTGCTCTGCCGGCGGCATAGGCGCCGCTTTGGCCCACGTGTTCCAGGAGAAGGGATATCACGTCTTTGCAAGTTTACGAAATCCGGCCAAAATCCCACCACATCTTTCCAACGCACCAAACGTCACGGTGCTGACTCTCGACGTCTTGTCCTCCGAGTCAATTGCCGCTGCGGTCGAGAAAATCAACCGGGACACTGGCGGCACCCTCGATGTGCTTGTCAATAACAGTGGCACCGGCATCTTTGCACCAGCCCTCGACACCCCGATCGAAGAGGCCAGGAAACTGTTTGACCTCAACTTCTGGGCCCCGTTGGCCATGCTCCAGGCCTTTGCTCCTCTCTTGATCAAGGCCAAAGGATGTCTGGTGAACAACACGTCTGCCAATGCGGTGGTTCCTATGGCATTGATGAGTAAATTCCCCTGACCCTGGCGGCTTCCCCGTTGTTTCTTCTTCTCCTTCTTCTCCTTCTTCTCCTTCTCCTTCTCCTTCTCCTTTTCCTTGCAGTATAATCCCATTTTGTATTTCATCTGGCTAACCTTACCTTACCTTACCTCCAGGTATGTACAACGGCTCCAAAGCGGCACTTGCGACGGCCAGTGAGACGTGGCGGCTTGAGCTCCAGCCCCTTGGGGTGCGGACCATGACTCTTATCACCCTCGGAGTCAATACCGGTGCCTTTTCCAGAAATCTTCGGCCCGAAATCCCCAAAGCTTCTCCCTACTTTGAAGTCCGCGACTCCATCTTCGGCCTCGCCAAGGACCGGTTCCAAGCCAGCGCCCTCAGCCCCGGGGAGTATGCCGCTCGAGTGGTCCGCGAGGTCGAGAAGGGTACACCAGGAACAGTCTGGGTCGGTAAAGATGCTTTCATGGCTCGCCTGGGTTGGTGGCTATCACCACAGTTCGTCCGGGTGAGTTGAGTTTATCGGGTGTGAAGATGACTGACTATTAGACATTCCAGGACTGGATGGTGGAAAGCTTCATTCCTATTTCCAGCGTCATGGCCAAGGTCGCAAAAGAAAAGAGCAAACATGATTGAGAGCGACAGTGCGAGGGAGAAGGCCGGCCCTGGGCCTTTCTAGATACAAACTCCAAGTCCTAGGCAGTGTTTCTGTTCGACAAACTCCGAGTCCTAGGCAGTATTGCTGTTCGTTTCTCATCGATAACGACAACTCCTCTCTATCATACTATACAATTTCATATATGGCCGCTCACCTCTGCTATATAAACGAGCTTTGAAGGTTTCCAACAAGACTAACGATTATAAAACCGTCGCTCGTATCGACGTCGAACTCGTCGGTCTACCATAGTCTATATGAGGTTTAGATTGTCACTAGGTCTACTATAGTCTTGAGGTCATAGAGTAGTGCGTAAAAGATTGTCACTAGCTGCCCCGGCCAATAGGTACTGCGAAACCCCGAGAACGAAGCGAAGATAGAAGATAGAAGATAGAATAATCTTAGACTTACTATCTAGGCTTATGCTTACCGTCTAACGTCTTCGTCTTCGTTGACCCGTAGAACTCGACGTGAGGTGAGCCGCTTGATCGATCTCGAGTTTACTGGGGTTTGGTCTGTCAAATGAAGGTTGAAATGTTCTATGTTCGCTATCCAAGGGTCGCAGGCGGAGCACAGTAGCCTAAACCAGCCTTCTGGTTAAAGGACAAGGCTGGGAATGCCGCCTAAGTTTGACATGGCCGGCCCAAAGAGTTTAATATTGGATATTCCCTGGTACAGGGATGGGCATCACCACCATCACCACCACCATCACCACCACCATCACCACCACCATCACCACCATCATCACCACCATCACCATCACGTCGGGTGGAAGAAAGTCAGGCAATCGATAGATTGGATCGGTTCGAAATGGTTCTCTTCTCAAAAATGAATTGGTGCTGGAGCTGTCGACGGGCAGAAGCCAAACAGATCCACTCCTGTGTATGCAAAAGCCAACCAGGTCCTGTCCTGTGTAATTAAATTGTCAAACTTAGGCTTAGGACTAACATTAGACCATTAGACATTCCCAACCTTGCCCTTGACCTTTAACCAGAAAGCGGGTATAGGTACTCCGTACACCTACTCCTTATATAGTCT